ATTCCCAGAAATCGGGGTTGGGGGTTTTGCACATTTTGCATCTTATGATCAGGACCACGAAAAAGCCGCAGAATGGTAAAAACATTGAAGGCGAAGATTTGGGTCAGTACTGATCCAAACTTTTAATGCAGTCTCCTTCTTTATGTCACAACTATGTTGAAAATGAAACTTTTTTTAGAAGCGAACAGTTTTATGAGCCAAGACCTGTGTCTAGCGGATGGAATCGGCAAACGTTTGGTTGCGAATGTGGCGAAAAGTATGGTTCGCAAAAGGTTGGTAAATTAAAACTCCCGTATACTCGCTTTTCATCAGATACACACATGTTTACTTACCTTGTTGATGAATAAATTACGGAACCGATTTTTGATCAAAAAATTATAGCCTGTATCTCATACAAATGGAAAAATTTGTACGATAGATAACGTGAGATCATCTAAAAACAACAATTCGCAATCACCAGACCGTGATATGAATCGCCTTTGGCGACTCATATCACGGTCTTTCCTATCCCATCAAATGCTCTCGTTCAGGCACTAGCGCATCATATCTTGCAAAATCACGATGCAGAGATACCATGCTTTGGTTGTAATGAGGTAAGCTATGCTAGCTTGTCTTATATTTGGACAAATTTATTACAGACAATACCTTCTTTGACCAAAATGCTGGATCATTTTCGGACAAAACATACCAAGAGTCTGATTGCTTGCGTTTACTGCAAGGTACGTTATTCGTCCGGGGTTTCGGTAATGGTAATAATATGATTATGTATAGTCCGTATTTGGCAAACCAAATGATATGACCGAAAATCAGTGGAAACGGTTGAAAACGCATATGTACGGAGTGAGTTATACTTAGTTTGCTTTTTTTACTTTATAACATCGATATAATACTCATTTAACAGCTTGTATCCGAACAAGCGCTTCTCTTTTTTTGACAGTTGGAGTAACTTCTGTCTTTGTTGACCGCCTCACTTAACGATGTGAAAAAAGGAATTATTCGAATACTTATCAATGAAACCAGCAATTTGCTTGTTATCATTTTTTACGGAGTCGGAATGAGGGACTGTAGATCTGCCCGCCGCTGGGGATACATCG